ATTTTATCTTACCCAAACTAGTTAGGTGACCAATGTTATACCTAACAGTCATCAATCATGCTTTCCAGTTAGAATTTTGCAAGGCAGAAACTTCGGTCCCCTGGTTACTATCTTTGAAAAAAACATTGATGGAATGCAGTTTTGGTTTTGCAAGCTGCCGCACTCCTCCCGCCTCGCTTTCTCTTGGCATCTCTAAAAAGACCCTAGAAATATTTTATGAGTTGACATTCTAATAACGCAAAGCTTCTATGGGCCGGGGTGAGGGTGGCCAGAGTGGGCGTGGGTGGGCATCTTGACGTCACTTGTGGCAGCCCAAGCACTCCGTCAGTGGAAATGGGCTCCTGAGCTCTGTTTTCAGCTGGGACGACCTCCTGCAGTTTTCTTTGGCAGTGAAAATGGAGCTCAGGAAGGCCGTGCGCAGCGCTCACGAGCTCAGGTTTTGCTGGTAGAGGAACTGCGGGCCAGTCCTTTGCTGTTTCCCCGTGGGCCAGATCTAAGCACCCCGTGGGCCAGATCCAGCCTGTGGGCCTTGAGTTTGACACCTCTGATCTGGAGGGATCATTCCCAATTATTAACCCGGAAGAGCAACGGGCGACGGCCCGGAGAGATGGGTCTGCGTGCCACTTCTGTCATGCCTGGCATCGCTTCGCCATCACAGCTGTATAAAATTTTCCAGTGAGAGTAACTTGGCTGCTTGCAGTTTCCCTTACTACTTCCCTTTAGTGACGGTTCAAAGTTATGATGACACTGAAAAATGTCACTTATGCCCATTTTTTCACTTATGACCTTTGCAGCACCCCCAGGAACATGTCATTAAAATTCAGTTGCTTGGCAACCGACTCATATTTATAACCGTTGCTGTGTCCCAAGATCCCCTTTTGCGACCTTCTGACAAGCAAACCAGATTCATTTAGCGAATGGGTTACTAACTTATCAACTGAAGTGATTCACTTAACAACGGTGCCAAGAAAGGTTGTAAAATGGGGCAAAATGCACTTCACCAATGTCTCACATAACAACATAAATCTGCGGATCAATTGTGGTCGTACATCAAGGACTACTTGTATTACTTGACTATCCTCCAAGCACAAAATTAGGCTGGCTAGTGTTTTTTTCATTTTGTCTTTGACCTTCCTGATTGATCTGCCGGAGGATTGCTTAAAACTGTCCCCAAATCCTCCCTCTGAAGAAATATCTCCATCGCTCCATGAGAAATACGTTTGTTTCACTAAGATGAGCCACAGGAAATCCTCCTCCTGTGACAGAGAGCATCTTGCAGTCTTCACAGGTCAGTTGTCTTCAAGTTCCCACAGGTTTACGAAGAAACTTTTACCTCAGAAAAATACTACCGGCTCTTCAGAGCGTACCTTGGCCCATAACCTGTTAGGGAATTGCACAACGGGTGTCCAAATGGAATCAGAAAGACCGACAAGGACCAGTTTTACATAAATAAGTACTGTATTTATATAGTACGGTAAAGCAAATAAGAGCATAACCATGTAAATCAATACAGCAGGGACGTCCTGAGGTAAAATAGAGAAGCACAGAGCACACAGGGGGGGAAAAAGGCGGGAAACCAGGGAATTCTCCCTTTTCACTCACAGCAACCAATCACAGCTCAGGTTGCCTCACGCAGCGGCCAGCTCTCTCTTTAGTTACAACCCTATGTGTTCTTACTCATTGTCCAACCTTTGGCTACTCCAGCTATTAAATTTTAAATACCTTATCAAGGCTGAAAAGTGTTCACCTGTGTTGGGTATAACATTGATACACCAACTAAGTTTGGGTGAATAAATATATAAACCAAGGTTTGGGTGTTTGTAACTTGTAGCTTTAAGCACCAAACTGCTTGTAATTATCTAATTAAGGGTGCAGTTACAAACGGCAATAAAAGGCAGTAAGAGAAACGTAACATCTCTCTGCTTGTTATCTGCTTGCTACTGTTTTGTTTGCTACTGTTTGCTACAACTGTTTGAATACCTGAACGAAAGGACTATTTTCATTGATGTGCTGATATCCTGTGAATACTCAGCGTTGTCTTCAAAAGGAAAGGTATCAGAGGAGAAGATATCTTTACAAGCAGATAAGGATATAGAACTGACTAGTAAATGGACTAAGTTACTGAATGGATATATTTGTGTATGACATATGGACTGATTGACAATGTTTAAACTCTAATTGGATTAAACAACTATTTAAACTACAAAAACAGTGTTTGTCATCAGTGTGTGTAAACTCTAGGGCCCTTCCTCTCTCATTTGGCTGCCTGGCTTGACTGCTGCTGCACATTCTGTTTGGGGGTTTGTCCCCAATCACTAACAACCTGTTGGATTGGTAGGAATGCTCATTTTCTACTGAGGAGCAAAAGGAAGTTAAGGAAAAGGACTGAAAGGAAAATCTGAATGTGGTACCTTTGTCAGCACCACTATGGATTTATCCTGTTGGCGCACGGCATCTTCTATAAACCATTCCAGTCTGCCCTGAAATCTGCCAATGTAGACAGGGGCGGCATAATATCAGGGGAACCAGGCATGGTCTGATTATGATAAGGGTGGGTGGGTGATGTTGGATGGGCCCACCAGATCATTGCTCTGACAAGAAAATCGTATCTGGTGTGTGACCACTGTCCCAAGTCGGGACCGAGACGATCTGGGACAGGCTCATGGCTGCCACGGAGGCCAAGAACTCCTGGGCTGCTTCCGAGACTGCACCTATTGCGGCCCATTGGCGGTTGACAGTTGGCAGCAGAGTCGGACAGTAGCGAGGAGGTTGGGGAGGAACCTGGGCCAGTCCTGGAGGCTGAGGAAGGCTCAGACGAGGCCTACTGCATCAGAGGCAGAGATGGGGCCAGGGCAGGCCGGCAGTCATCAGCTGCCTTCAGACTCAGACAGCAGTGAGGCAGGGGAGCGTCTGGAACCGGTTCCCAGCCTGTGCATGCACGGGGCTACCAGAAGACCATTGAGAAAGCAGGGTTGACTCAGGAGTAAGGCCACACCTTGGGAGATGATGGGCCCCTCCCATAGGACATAAAAGAGGAGGAAATGGGACGTGAGCTTTTGCAGGAAGCAATGAGTTCGTCTGGTCGATTTAAGCTTTGAAAAGTTCTGTTTGACCCTGTGTCGATCTCGGCCTTGCCCTTCTCTGGCTGTATTCCAAGTGCGATAAGGTGGGAGTTTATCAACATTCCCCTGAGAGACTGTTTGTGAAGCCTTGCAGGCTGCGAATGAACGTAATCCACAGCTGCGGAAATAAAAGAGGTTTTGCCGGAACTAAGGTTGTGTTTTATGCTTTCTAAGGAAGCAGAACAATGCCCAGGGATGGCACGTCGAAGTTCTCCAGAACCATCAGCCTGAAGAACTCCACCCCCAGCCCTCAGTGCCAGGGATGGGAAGGAGAAGTTCTTTTGAAGCCCAGAAAGGAAGACCCGGGCGGAGAAAAGAGAGACCAGCAACTTGGTGGATGTGTTTTACTTAAATCAATATGGCTTCCTGTCTTAAAATGCAACAATGGGCAGCTCAACTAATCCCATGATGATTTCCAGGTTTTCAACTTTCTTGGGAATTAAATACTGGTCTCAGCTGTGCCAAAAACGCCTGGGAAGGGGAGTTTGGGTTGTCTGCAGTTCTATCTCCCACTTTACAGGACGTCCTCATATTGCAACCGCAACGGGGCCCAGAATTTCATTTCCTAAGCAAGATGGCTGATAAACGAGTCGTGCCTAATTTTGCAACCTTTTCACCAGGGTTGTTACGCGAACAGCTTCGGTTGCTAAGTGAAGCATTCAGTCGTTAAGTGAATCTGGCTCCCTCCCCTGTTGCCTCTGCTTTGTAGGAAGCCTGTTTGGGAAGGTCACAGATGGCGATTCTGTGATCCCAGGATGCTGCAACCATCACAGATACACGGGGGTTGCCAGGTGCCCAAATTTGGATCGTTGTGACCGCCGTAAGCGCAAAAGCCATAACTCCCTTTTTACCAGTGGTGTTATAGCTTCGAATGTCCGCTAGATCGATGGTTATCAATCGGACATTATCTGTAATCGGACGTCCACTTTCGGTTACCCGAAATGCCGCTTCTGCATTGTCCTGTCTGAAGTGGTCAGTCCCAGCAGCATCTCATTGAATTCCCAGAGGTTCTCGGCCACCTGGTCATCACGGGCTTGTGGCCAGGGCACCTTTGGCCGGCAGTCCACAAAATACCGCCCGCTCTGCCTCTCGATGCCCTCCTCGGTGGCGCAGTAGATGATAGTCTGGGCGCCAGTTTTCCAATCTCGGAGGAGCGGCTTGATGGTCCAAAGCAGCCAAACTACCCAACGGGGATGAGAGCGAGAATTTTCTGTTTGAACCAGTCCTGAAAACAAAGGCTGTGAGAGTAATGTGGGGAGGGAAGATTGTCCAGATATTTTTTTGGGGGGGGGCGGGGGGAGATCCCATTAGAACCCTTTGCACAGCACCTCTTTCCCTAGGATCATTGGCCATTTGGGCAACACAGAAAATTTTTTCAGAAGACCAAGAGCCGACGTTGTGGGCCAATGGGGTAGGTGTACTTGTGCTTGTATGTGTGTGTAGGGGTGTGTATAGGTGAGCGGCTTCCGATGCACGAATCCATTGCAGTGGGGTGGCTAATACATTCGAATAAATAACGTGAAAGAATCGTGTTCTTACAGAATATCGGCAGCTCAGGATTGAAGTGCGGAAGTGTTAAAGCTTCATCCCCCCAACTAGGTTATGCCCTCAGTGCTAGAAGGGAGTGGAGTTTGTGGAGAGGAGGGAGAGGAGGAAGGGGAGGAGAAGGGGGTGGAAGAAGAGGGGAGGAGGAGAAAGAGAAGGAATAAAAGGAGGAGCGGGAGGAGTAAAAGGAAGAGGAGGAGCAGGAGCAAGTGGAGGAGGAAGGATGGGAAGAACAGAAAAGGCAGAAGGAGGGGGACAAAGAGGAGCAAGAGTTTTGGGAAAGCCTAATCTCTGCCTTAGGCAGGGGGTTGGACTAGAAGACCTCCAAGGACCCTTCTCCCCTAAGATTCTAGGATTCTGGACGCGGGAGGTGGGAGACGTCTCCCTCCACAGTTGAGCTCGATGGAGGAAACTCCCGGGGTGCAGTGGTGGGATTCAAATTGTTTTACTACCGGTTCTGTGGGCGTGGCTTGGTGGGCGTGGCAGGGGAAGGATGCTGCAAAATCTCCAGTCAGAGGTAGTATTTGCCGGTTCTCCAAACTACTCCAAATGTCCTCAACCGGTTCTACAGAACCGGTCACAACCGGCTGAATGACCACCTCTGGCTCTGCAGAGGAAGTTGAGGGACCCTCAGTGGGAGAGAAGTGCCTGTCGGAGCCCCAGACGGACCTGGGGGTTGGGGGCCTCCATCTGGGGGGCCTTGGAGCCGGACTTCCACTCACCTGGATGAACCGCGTAGCAGGTGACGTTGGTTCCTTCCAGCCGCTTGGCCAACTCTCGCACGTGGACAATGTTGGCTAGTTTGCTGTTGGAGTACGATCTTACTGTCTGCCACATCCTTTCCACCGGCTTGTAGATGGTCCGAAAGTCAATCTTCCCAAAGATATGCATACTCGAGGACAGAATTACGATCCGGCTCGGGGCGCAGCGCTTCAGCCGGTTTAGCAGCAGGTGGGTCAGCAGGAAGTGGCCCAAGTGGTTGACCTGGAAGGCCTGGTTAAAGTCATCGATGGTTTGGCCAGCTTTAATCACCCCTGCCAGAAAAATAAGATGATATGTAGTCCTTGGCTTACACGACGCGGCACTTCGTGATCCTTGGAAGTTACCACAGACATAATTCCCAAAAGCCAATTACAATAACAGGTGTTTCTGAAGTTCTAGGGCTCCCCCTTGTGGTCACCTGATTGCCTTACAGGTGCTTGGAAACAGGCCTCCCCTTGGCGATGTGTCACAGGACTGCCATTTTTGTCGGGGAAAACTTGACTTGAAATTTTCAGCAAAAACACCCACTAGTGAACAAAAAGTTCATAAAATCGTGTCGGTCACAGGGGTGACTTGCTTTCTCAGCATCACAACATGACCATAATTGGCAGACGGTCAGCGTTCCAGCAACCTTCCATTCCAACCAATAACTTCGAGACAGACATGTCTCAAAGGGTTCCTTTATTTGGTTAGTAGCTATCATGCCCTTGTTGGAATCCGATTCTGAGGGGGAGGCCGAGCAGTTGACAGGGAGTGGGAGTGTGGCTCCGGTGGCTGTGGAGGAAATGGGGGAAGGGCACAGTCCGGCTGGGCATTCAGAGGAAGACCCAGGCCCACCCCCTCTTCATCCTAGGGCATGCAGGGAGGAACAGATAAGGGAGCAACAAGGGTTACGGGGGAGAAAAAGGCCCTGATTCCCTTCATACCTGCAGCTGGGAAAACAGGATTTTAAAAGGGTGTTTGCGCACAGAACCTTGCTGGAAGCAAAGCGTGCATTATCTTTGTTTGTCACGTCTTATCTGGGTTCTGGCGTCCTCCCACCTGCGTATGTTTCGTTATCTTTTGAAGTCTTCAATCCCTTATCCTGCCCTGTCTCGTTAATTGCTGCAGCTTATGGTTTGTGTTGGTTTTTATTTATAATTTAGATGTACTTTGGGTTTGGACTGAATTTCTTCCCTTTAAAAACTGTTCTTGTGAGAGTTTTTTCTCCAGCCAATGATAACTGGACATTGGGGCCCAAGTTGGAGGCATTAAAGGGAATTTATTCTACTTTGGTGACTTTGTTATTTTTGTGCCACGCCCCTTTGGGTCATCACAGTAACTTGGCACCTCTGTGGAATCCTGAATCTGAAAGTTTAGGGGGGTTCTTTGCAAAAGTCAAAACTACAAATCCATCCCCCCCCCCCTTAGCCATCATCACATCACGTGGTCCAATCGCAATCCGTCCTAAAGCAAGATTCCCATTTCATGATGCGCCACACTGGGTGACCTTGAATCAGAAAAAGAATTTTATGTTGTCTAACTAGATATACTCAAACGAATTCCTCCACCCCACTTCCTCAGGCTCAATGGTGGTAGCATCTGATCTCAATATGGCTTCCAAAGCTGACACAGACCACATCACGGTTGTAAGCCGAGGATTACCTACTTGGTCTAAGGCAGGGGTATCAAACTGGATTTCTTTGAAGGCCGGATCGGCATTGTAGTTCTCCCCTGTTGGCCGGGGTGGGGGACCACAGATGCCTCCTGTAGCACTCTATCAGCCAAAATGGGGCACGGGGAGTCTGTGTGCCCCCCCTGCACCTCCTTTTCACCCTCCATGGCCTCCTGCAGCACTCTGCTGGCTGTTTTCGGGCCCCTTTTCACCCTCTTTTTTCGGCCTCATTTTCAGCCCATTTTTGGCCTGTTTTTCGTCCCGTTTCCAGCTGGTTTGGGGGATAGTTTTCAGCCAGCAGAATGCTGGGGGCCATGGAGGGTGAAAACAAGCCACGGGGGGGGCCTGTACACAGCCTGTTTTAGCCATCAGAGACCCCACAGGCCAGTCTCTTGATATTTTCGGGCTGGCACTGTGGGGTGGATTTAAGCACCCCTTGGGCTGGATCCGGCCCGCGAGTCTTGAGTTTGACACCCCTGGTCTAGTGGTTAAGGCAAAAGGCTTTTTAAGACAGTTAAGAGAGTCCGGTCTAGTGGTGAAGCCCAGAAAATGGGAAGCCATGAGTTCAAATCCCACCTTCATCATGAAAGCCAGCTGAGTTACTGGGCCAACCACCAGGAGACAGTGAGTTCTAGTGCCACCTTAGGCATGAAAGCCGGCTCTCAGCCCAACTCACCTCATAGGGTTGTTGTTTGAAAAAAATAGGAGGAGAAAGTTGTGTTGGATCTGTTCACTTCCTTATTTGTAAAAAATAATAACAAACGCAGTATACGAACAACAACAACTACTACTACAAATAGGAGACAGCCGCTTCTCCAGTTCTGGCCAAATCCCCAAAGGGAGACAGTCCCCCCTTCAATATTCCCCCCTTCCTTCCCCCTCCGGAGACCCTGGGGAGGGTCTGCTCTGGCCCCACCTGCGTTGTTGATGAGGATGTCCAGACGGGGCTCCGACGCTAAGAAGGTCTGCGCAAAAGCTCGCACGGAGTTCAGGCTGGCCAGATCCAGGATCATCAGGATCACCTCCGAGTTCCCGCTTTCCTGGAAAAAGGAGCGGGATAAATCCTGAATCTCGGGATCCGGTGCGGCTTCAAAGGCAGATCCCGGTTTACTCACCTTCTGCGTAGGTCTGCTCACCTCCCGGCAATCTCTCCGAGTGATGCACAATAAAACAATACAGCCAGTTGTTGACTTACAACCATTCATTTAGTACGTTACTGAAAAAAGGGATTTACGACTTGTTCTCACACTTACGACCATTTCAGCATTCCCCAAAGGTCACATGATCAAAATTCAGGCACTTAGCAACCAGCGTAGTGGTGGGATTAATTTTTTTTTTACTTCCGGTTCTGTGGGTGTGGCTTGGTGGGCGTGGCAGGGGAAGGTTACTGCAAAATCCCCCTTCTCTCCCCACCCCACTAACCTGCTTTCCAGCTCTGTCCTCCTGGGCAGGGCAACCCAAGGAGACCTAGCCGATCAGCTGGGACTCCATGGGAGGAGAGAATAGGATGGGGAAGAGGCCAGCCACAGGCGGGATTGGCCGGTTCTCCCAGTTACTCAAAATTTCCGCTACCGGTTCTCCACAACCGGTCAGAACCGGCCGAATCCCACCTCTGAACAAGAAACAACGGATGGAAAATGACCAAGGAGAGAAGCAACCTGGAAATAAGGAGGAATCTCCTGGCAGCAAGGACAATGAGCCAGTGGAACGGCTTGTCACAGGACATTTTGAATGGAGGTTTTTCAGAAGAGATTGAACAACCATTTGTCTGAAATAGTATAGAATCTCCTACTTGAGCAGGCTGCTGGACTAGAAGACCTCCAAGGTCTGTAGAGATTCTCTGTCATCCAGGCCCTGGTTGTTTTTTCAGGAGGCAACTGGACTTTCTTTTTTTTCTTTTGAAGACATTTTACTTCTCACCCAAGAAGCTTCTTCAGCTCTGACAGGATAGGGGAGGATGGAAGGATTTATATTTCCAGAGGAAAAACTTGCAGACTACAGGAACCATTTGCAGCACTCGGGTGACCCCGAGAACCCTCCAGGTAGCCTCAACAACCCTCTCAAAGGGTGCAAATGACCAGCTGTCGGCAAGGAGTATAAATCCTTCCATTCCCCTCCATCCAGTCAGAGCTGAAGAAGCTTCTTGTATGGGAAGCAAAATCTCTTCAAAGAAAAAACAAAGCCCAGTTGCCTCCGGAAAAAGCAGCTTTGGGAAGACCTCCAAGGTCCCTTCCAACTCTCTCGTTCTGTACTAAGGTATCACCTTCTTATTGTCTACATGAGGAATGGAGATTGAGACGGGCAACTTTTAATAACCACAACCAAACGGGTCACACAGATCCAACAAAACCACTGCCAGGAATGCGGCTTCCCTGAAAAACATGGAGCCCCCTGAATAGAACCAGGCCAGGCCGTGACAGAATTCAAGGCAAAGCTCTTTGAGTGGGGAACGGCCGAGAGTCCGGCAAGGCCGCTGAGGCACATCAGAACGGTTGAGACATTGAAGAGAGTAGCTGGAAGGGTAAAGTGTACAGTTGCAGTTGATTGGTTGGG